CCGAGACAGTCGAACCGAACGGTTCGGACGGTTTTCATAAACCGTTCCATCCTTAATATATATATGGTTATAATTACTTGAGTCAGTAATGAAGCATCTCTCAGAAAACTGGTCTTCATGATTATGTCTTAAAAATATCTGCATCTGTTCCACTGAGCAGTTCTCTGTACCGAGGTCTGACCTGATAGACGCTGGAGTTACGCTCCAATTTTCCACTTCATCAATAAAGTACCCAGCTGTAACCCTGGGATTACTGGTTGTGGAGTTAGCATGCAGCCAGAAACGCGAAAATCCGCCCAACAGCTCCATTAATACAGATTCCGTATAGTTTGAGTTTTTCATATGAATCGACATACCACATAAAGTTGGGATCCTGTCGTTTTAAACGGAGCCTCAGCTGTTCTCCTTGAGGATCTAGGATTTAGGATTTACGAGATCTTATCTCATTAATTACCGTAAATTCCAGACTATAACCGGCTACTTTTTTCGCGCCGTTTGAACACTGCGGCCTACAATACAGTGCGGATAATACATGTTTATTTTTCATGGCGCGAAAAACAGACAAGTGAGAGCGACAAGGATGAGACTGAAGTCAGCGACGGCATCCTGAAGCTGTTCCATTCAGACACCGAGGAAGAGGACTTTGAGGGTTTTAGTCCGCGGGAGGAAGAAGAAAGCGATTAATGACTTTTCCAGGTCGGCTACAATGTTCTGTGCGTTGTTCGATTAAAAGTACCGATATATGCAGCGTTATTTGCGTGTTACCGACACATACGTACATTTAAATGTGTTACAGGTGGTTTGAAAAAAAAAAAAAAGCATTCATAATATTTACCGTATTTGTTTGTTTTTATCATACGGATTAAATCAAACGTTAAAAAAATGCTCACGTGTAATATCTTTATTTGTAAATATCTCATACAACGTGGGAAACCTGCGGCTTAAAATCCGGTGCATCTTATAAAAGTACAAAATTGATTTTCTTTCTAAAATTAGAGCGTACAGCTTGTAATCAGGTGCGCTCTATAGTCTGGAATTTACGGTAATTAATCAATTAATGAGATAAGCTGTCTGATTTTTTTTTCTTTTGGTGAATGAAGAAGCAGATTTAGGGGATAATTTATTTTATACATTTGGTCTTTTAATAAAACTCAATGTGAGCAGGGATTTAGGAGTCAGGAATAAGAAAAAAAAAAGAAAAAAGAGCGACTGGAATTTGGAGAGCCTCGGTTGGTGCACGCTGACGTAATTAAAAAACTTTTTAGATGTTTTAGGTGAAAATGCTTGATTAGAAGCTTCATTAATTTCCTGAAACCACATAAGTTAATTACTGAGACCTCAGGATGGTTTAAAATAAACATAAAAACATTATTAAGAGGAATAAGTAGCTCATCTTTCCTGTTAAGTCATGAATTTGTTTTTTAAGCTTTAAAATGAAGCCATGATATAAAGCAGAAGTCGGGTTCCACTGTAGACAGCAGCCGGTGTCTCACCTTGTCGTTGAGGTCTAAGACGTAGGTGCTGTGTCTCCACTTGGTGAGGACGATGGGATCCGGCTGCTTCCTCTCCAAACTGCGACTCTTAGGAACTTCTCCGGGCTGAGGGGAGATGTTATACTGCAGGGACAGAGCAGAGAGATGTAGCTCATTAGACGACGGCAGCAGGTCGTCCAGGAAGCGCCGCCTCACCTCTCCTCTGACCACCCACAGCTGCATTGGACACAGACCCACTGAGCATCCTTATCTACGGGAACCGAGCATCGCGCCGCCGTCTGACGCCAACGCTTGTTAATTAGAAGAAGCAGACGGTTTGATCTGCGGGCTCCAGATTAGCGAGAGCAAAGACGCAAATAGCCCATCCCTGACTGGTTTCTCTGACCTTTAAACCTTCATCCTATTAGAGCGCTCTGCTGGGTGATGTAACGGCTGTTTGTTACCCACAGGAAGAGAGGCCTCTGATGCTAACGAGATCATCTCACCTTGGGCAGCTCCCACTCTGACCTGGATCCGTCCACGCTGTAGTAGTACGGCCGGCCCTGTTCGTCCACGTGTTTGATCCACTGCGGAAACAGACAGCGCTCAGCGTCCGGAAGCACTTAGAGGGGAAGCTCACTCACAGCGCCTTTCCCACCTTCTCCTGCGTGTATTCGGACACGTAGAGGGTGTGTCCGTGTTCGTCCAGCTCCTCCGACCAGCCTCTAGGGGGCGATCCGTACTGGCTGTCTGACTGGCTGGAATGGGTGCTGTGGCAGTTGTCCTCTGAGGACAGAGGCTGAGGAAGGACAGGAGACAGAAGGGTTAGATTATAAACGTGCCTTATGTGTGCTTTCTAACGCTTCATTTTTATTTTATTTTATTTAGTTTCATTATTGCTTCAAAGAACAAGTTTTTGAAAATGGAAAAGAAAAAAATAAATCCATAAAAATAAAAAAAAATCTTAACAAAAACGGGACTTGTTTCATTTTTTAAATGCATTTTCTTTAATTATCTAAGAGAAATGTTAGTCTTACATTTTTTTTTATTCTTTCAAATTTTACTTCTTTAAATAAATTTTTTTCTCATATTTTTTTATTATTAGTTCTTATATTTTCTATTTTTTTTTCTATATTTCCAGATCAAATTCTGTCCACTTCT